TAACTAAACAAGGTAGGATAAGTGCCATTATCACCTTCTCTTGCTGTACATGGATAAACAATACTGAACAGGTAGAAGTCAATGTCCTTGAGATATATAACCAAGCCAAATGGTTACACTTGTTTGGGAAAACCTACTCCAGCTCCCAGGATATCTAGAATATAATAAAAGGGGCTCTTCCGATTTTCACTGGGTTCCTCCACCTCTTAGGATTTCTTGCTGCTATCCTTTTAATGCTCATCCTTGGGCCCTGCCTCCTGAAATGTCTAGTTTCTTTGTCTCTAAAAGAGTTGAGGAAAACTATAGATAATAATAACCCAGGAATTAATGGATAGGGCTATAGCTGGAAGATATTAGACCTACTTGAAGCTAGCTAGGGGAAGGTTTCACTTCTCTAACAGAGGGCAACAACTACTCTTTTATGAGAGAAGACAGATCTTCAACCCTCAGTATCCTTAAAAAATGTGAGTGAAAACAGAAAAGGGTCAAATTTGTTATCCCACAGTAGTCCTATGTGACATGCCTAAAACTCCTAGCTTTCCTTAACTCTGTTCATCTCTGAGAGACAAGATGGCTTGCAATTAGTAGCTTTCTCCCAAGAATGAGACAGTTAAAAATGGCTAAGACCAAATGGCCACCAAATTGAACTCCATACAACTTCAAACCTCATTATATCTGCAGAACATCTCTGAACTACCTTGGTAGCTGTACTTGAAGATTAATCTGCTGAGTTTGGCGCCTGACAGGGAGCTGAGAAAGTTTTACCAGGAATGGAGTTACTGTGAGGCCAATGAAGCTTAAACTTGGGGTTCCACCTTTGCCTGGGCTTCTCGCACATGCTGGGAGTTGTAGAATGTCTCAGGTAGGGAGAGGAAGCAGGTTGTAGTCAGGAAGGATTTCTTTGTAAGCATTTTAGGTCAAGTGATCTCAGTAAGTCTTCAACATTTGATGGTGACTTTTTTCAGATTATAAATAAATATTTAATTTTGCGTTTCTAATTTTGTGTTCTTAGAGAGGACCACACAAATTTTAGGTGCTTTAGGCTACACAAAATTTGGATCTGCCACTGGGATTTAATAAATGAGCTACCTGGGTGCTTTGCTAGTATATGTTTTCCTATATTTAGTAACACACAATTTATATGAGTGAACAAACACTAAGTAGAATCTAGAGAATCACAAGTAATTCTGAAATCAGTGCTTTGATGACTCTTATGAGAGAACTGGAACTTCTGGGCAGCCGATATATTTCCATCTTAATATTAATAAATGCTATGAAACTGGAACTTGGATACTGATATCAGTTCAGTTCAAGAAGGCAAGCCTTTGTGGAATGCCTATTGTGTGCAAGGGGATTTAGGGCCAGGCTCTTCCCCCTCCCCCCACCCCCCCAATAGTTTAAATTCATTTTAAGAGTGATATGAAATGAATTGCCTTATTATCTTAATTGTGAAGTGTTTTTAGTTCCTTGGAGTCTTAATAACAGTTCTCTTTTAAGAAATCAGAGCCAACGTGATAAATACGATTAAATACCAAGGAACAACAACGATAAATTGTTGGTAGCAGTCATTTAATGTTTGCTGAAACAGACTTGTCAGTCTGTTAGGAGTTTCAGTGCAGAGGAAACAAAATGAAAACAATCATTTTTCTTTGTTTATAGACAGTTTCATAGATTGTCGTCATGGGTAACTTTGAGGTAACTATTTTTTAAACCAAGAAACCTTATATTGAAAACAAACTATTTTATGTTCATCATTTTGTCATTCTCTTAAATGTATCATTAAATAAGTATCAAGTACTATCGTTTGAGAAATGTCATTGATTTTCTAAAGGTAAGTCAATATATAATGTCAGATACTGTAAAGTTTCACAGAAAAACAAAGTCAGAGGAGGCAAGAGATTGATGTGGGGGTGGAGGGTTTGTTTTAGAAAGACAGTGCTGTCTTCCTAGCTATACCTTGAGTGTGCCGAGCACACCCCCATCTTAGGACCTTTGTACTTGCTGTGGCTTCTGCCTGGAACGCTGTCCTTCAGAAACTGCATCCATTATTTCCTCACTTCACTCAGGGCTCTGCACCCTGTCTAAGGAAGCACCATCTGCCATTCCATTTCCTTCCTGCTCTTCAAGTATTCATCTCCATCTGACGCTGGGAACTGAGGAAATTCAAAGAAATTCTTTGATAAATCCTTTGCCATCTGATGTCTTAGTACTTGCTTTTTGAAATTCAGGAATTGAAAAGATTTTAAAATAATTCTTGCTATTTGATCTAGATATCAGAATCAGGAACCAAATAATTTTGTATAGTAAGGGATATTTGTTATTTTCTTCATAGTACTTTTTACTCTCTGATTTATTTGTCTGTCTCCCTCACTAAATTGTTAGTTTCATGGTGGGTGGGACTTTGTTTTCTTCCCTGCTCTATCCCCACCACCTGGAACAGTGCTTGACACTGAATCAAGTCTCAATAAATATATGTTGAATAAATCTGTTACTACATGAATGAATCCATTTGAACCAATATCTGAACTCTAAATTTAGAAAGTATATGATTACTATATGGAAAAGGCTTATTTCACATTATTAATTTTTAAGAAGCAAGATGTGGGGTTATGTATATAATATGATTTCCACTTAAAAAAATTCTTGGCTCAGTGGATAGTGTCGGCCTGTGGACTGAAGGGTCCCAGGTTCTATTCCGGTCAAGGGCATGTACCTTGGTGGTGGGCACATCCCCTGTAGGGGATGTGCAAGAGGCAGCTGGTCGATATTTCTCATCGACGTTTCTTACTCTCTATCTCTCTTCCTCTTTGTAAAAAATCAATAAAATATATTTTAAAAAATTCTTGAAACTTTGCATTTGTTCTTTTATTCCATTTAAAAAATATATTTTTATTGATTTCAGAGAGGGAGGGAGAGGGAGAGAGAGATAGAAACATCAACGATGAGAGAAAATCATTAATTAGCTGCCTCCTGCGTGCCCCCTACTGGGGGTTGAGTCCAAAATACAGGCACATGCCCTTGACTGGAATCCAACCTAGGACCCTTCAGTCCATTGGCTTACATTCTATCCATTGAGTCAAACCGGCCAGGGCTATTCATTCATTTATTGAAAGAAAATTTAATAAGTATCTCCAGTGTGTCCATTCTGTGCTGGGCATTCTAATCCAGCTACAGTTTCATGAGAAGATAGATCATGAAATGAACTCGACCTTTTCCCTCATCACTACTCTCCAGCTATGTTGATTTTCATTCAATTTACTAACCTTTCAACATTGCACAGGTTATTTCCCCCCTCTCCCCCCATTGATTTTTTAGAGAGAGTAGATGGAAGGGAGGGAGGGAAGGGGGGGGGGAGAGAGAGAGAGAGAGAGAGAGAGAGAGAGAGAGAGAGAGAAATATTGATGAGACACATTGATTGGTTGCCACCCACATGCCCCTGACCAGGGCCAAGGATCGAACTTGCAACCCAGGTATGTGTCCTTGACCTGGAATCAAGCCTGCAACCCTTCAGTTATTTCGTTATATGCTTAATATGTGTCTCTATATATTATAAATTCTGTGAGGCTAGGGACCATAATACCATTTAATTATCAGTACCTAGCTCAATGCCTAATATATAGTAGGTACTCAATAAACATTTGTTGAGTGAGTGAATGAATTAATGAATGAATGAGAGAAGTACATAGTAGGAATACCATATCTAATATAATGGAAGTTAGGGGAAGTAAATTTCAAGCTGGGATCTGAAGAATGAGGAGGAATTAGCAAGTGAAGAAACCAAGCAGCGTGTTCTGGCGATTAAGCTATGACTTTATTTTAAAAGCAACAAAGAGTTTTAAACCAAAAAGTGACTATCATATTGCATTTATTTTTATTTTTATTATTATTTTTAAAATATATTTTATTGATTTTTTACAGAAAAGAAGGGAGAGAGATAGAGAGCTAGAAACGTTGATGAGAGAGAAAAATCGACCAGCTGCCTCTTGCACACCCCCTACCGGGGATGTGCCTACAACCAATGTACATGCCCTTGACCAGAATCGAACCTGGGACTTTCAGTCCGCAGACCGATGCTCTACCAATGAGCCAAACCAGTTTTGGCTCATATTGCATTTTAGATGGACTGTTTCTCATTGGTGTTAGGAACAGACTGGATGGGCAATGCTGGAGCAGAGATTGGTTCAGAGGATTTAGTGGTAGATGGTTGTGGCCTCCACTGGGTTCTTGGCACTAGGGAAGGGAGAAGTGGGTGACTGGGATAGCGAGAGAAAGGAAGGAGTTAAGTATGATTCCAGACTTCTAAGTTAGGCAACTGAGAGGATCCTAGGCTCACCATTCAATGGAACTCAGAGGGAGAAACCATCTTAGGAGAAAAGAGCCTGTCTATATTGAAGCTGAGCATTAAGGACGTGGTTATATAGCTGACTTCTCTAGATGTAAGTACTTAGAAAATACCTGGAAAGAAATCATCAAAATATTGTAGTATTGGAAATCTAGTAATATCTCTAAAATTTTCTTATTAACTTTTGGTTTTCATTATTTTTGTTTTATAAAGGAAAAATAATAAACTTTAGAGAATTCTGTTAGGATCTGCCATAGGAAATGTTAACATTTTTGTCCAAAAGACAAAAAACTAAAGCTTTCTTAATAAAATATGGGTTATTCCCAATGAAAATAAATGATTGGTCCTGAATAGAAGCCCATTGTGAAATGGGTTTACTATTAGTGTATGTCTGTGGTGAAAGAGGAGGGCTTCATTTGGAAATTTAACCTTACCATTAGGCTAGGGACCATACCAGAGGTCTGCTAGAGTCAGGTACTATCATTCATTCACTTCTTTCTTCCTTCTTTCATTCATTATTCATATATCAATCCTCAGCATGGTCCCTGACTTTTAGTAATTGCTCAAGTGAAAGCCATTATTTAGATTTGTTACTAATACATTTATTTTTACTGCAGTTGTTATACAATGATGTTATTTGTGTCTGATTGATTTTTAGGTAGATTGGGGTCACCTGGACTATTTAGTTGTTGACATGCCACCAGGAACTGGAGATGTGCAGTTATCAGTCTCACAGAACATTCCCATTTCAGGTAAATCTCAATGTTTAAAGCGGTTTGTGCTACCTTTGATGCTTTGCTGTTTTCTTACAGAAAAACAAACTTTATAACAAACATATTTATATCTTAAAAAACAATCATTTATAAATTTTCCTTTTCAGATAAACTTCATAAATAGAATTTTTTAACTATTACTAAAACAGTTACGTTTTCACAAACATAAGGCACTTTGAGAGGTGGTGATGTGAATCTGTGCTCTGGAACAGCAGCAGCATTTAAGTGTTATTTAGGTAGAACATGGCTATTTGGGGCTCACAGCTCTCCACACTTACAGTATAGTGCCCGATACAGGGTGGGCACTAAGTGAATATTTATTGAATACATACTGATGAATAAGAGTAAATTTTGGGAAAATTTGGATTTTTGGTGAATATAATTATGGGAAAATTTTATATTCTGCTAATTATCTATATCATAAAAGGCCTGTGGTTGTGACGCTGTAACAGTGTCACGACCAAACAAGCAGCAGCAGAGGGCGTGGGGGGTGGGTGTGAGGGCAAGGATGCCGGCAGCATCCACAGAGTGTGCAAGGCATTGCAGGCGGCGGACATGGCCCTGACGGCAGGCGAGGCCTAGGGGACCCTACACACGCATGATTTAATTGTGTGCTGGGCCTCTAGTTTAATATTAAAGTCAAGAGCTGGGCCTCTAGTTTAATATTAAAGTCAAGAGAGCAAAAAAGATATTACCTTACTTCAAATACACAGTACTTCATTAAAGTAGAGGTTATTTATGATATGGAGTTTCAGTATTTCTCATTAACTTTTATGTTAAACTAGAGGCCTGGGTGCACTAACTTCTGTATGAGTGTGGTCCCTAGTCCTGGCCGGTGATCAAAGCTCGAAGCATGAGCGTCTGGCGTGGAAGGGCAGGTCCTGGCTGACCTCTGGGCTCTGGGCAGCACCTGAGCCCCTGGGCCCCTGCATGGCCCCTCCATCTGAGTCATGGCGCCTGAGTCTCCACACAGAGGTGCAGTGAGCATGGCCGGATGCAATGGGCCGGGGCGCATCATGTGGCTCTGGGATGCCTAGTGGCACCAGATGGAAGCCGAGCAGGCAGCGCACTCTCTCTCCCAGACAGACTTGCAGACCAGCTCCTGTGTGAACCCACAGGCAGCCCAGCTTACCTGGAAGTCCACTGGGGCCAGCAGCGCCTCTGCTGCTGCCCACTGCCAGCACTGCATCACTGAGGCCCACCATGTTCTGTGCCACCCCCTGGTGGTCAACACATATCATAGTGAGTGGTCAAACTCCTAGTGGAACTCCCAGTCGAGGGGACAATTTGCATATTAGGCTTTTATTATATAGGATCTGTTTTTCCTAGATTCCACTGAAGAAATACTTGTTAATCTCACTTATATATAAGGACTTTGGGGAAAAGAAGGAATATTTAAGTGTTTTTGCAAGTTAGTTATGTATTGGTAATAAATAACCAAGAGTTATCACTAACATTTAATCATCAAATCACCTGTGTTTTTGATAAAATATACACATTGCTTGAAAATATCAATATAGCATATTAATATGAATATTTTTTATGTTTAAATATATTTAAACGTAACCTAATGGAGCCTAAGACTTTTCCTTTAGTGAGGCAAGCCATGAAGTATGAAATGGGAGTAAAGTGAAGTAACATAAGAAAATAATTCTTCCTCTTTATAATCATTATACTAAATAGCCTGCTTTTTATTTTTTAAAGAAGTTTTGAGGCATATTTCTCAATCTTATGAATACTCACTAAATGTTTATTGAATAAAATGTGTTTCTGACACTTTGAAATGCCTATTGAAGGTATCCAAAATGCTTACATTATTCATGTAAATAATAGATTGATAAAATTGGACTAAATTATCATTTATTTCTTGCATTGTGACTTGGTACCTTGAAAAAGTTTAATTTGCTTCCCACAGATAAACTGAAGTCCCTAAGCATTTTACCTTTGTTAATTCAGATGAAAACTCTTCTGTTTGGACAGGATTTATGATTGTATCGCCCTGTTTAATTTGTACTTACACTCTAAAACCAACAATGGGTAAATTGGGGTTAAGATTGCCTCTCCTTTGAAGATTTTTTTTTTTATATCCTATAACTTAATCAGCATATTTCTTATCCCTTTAATCTAATGAAAAGTCTGCCTTGTAATAGGTGATTGATATTATTATAGGAGAATAAAAAAGCAGTATTTTTTATTGCAGTAAAATATACAATAATAGTTTAATAGCATTAAATATATCCACATTATTACATAATGATCATCACCATCCATCTCCTGAACTTTCTCATCTCCCCAATGAAACTGTGTACCCATTAAACACTAACTCTCAATTTCCTCCTCCCTCTAGCCCATGGTAACCACCATTCTCCTTTCAGAAAATAGTCTATATGAAGATTAGAAATGGGGAATGAAGAAATTATGTAAGAAAAATATTAATTTAAAATATTGCATTAAACAAAAATCTAACATTGATTTTAAGATTTATTAATATAATTTTAAACCAACAAATGTTTACCTGTGAGAGTTAGACACTAAGCACTGTAGAGTATCCAAGGATAATTAAATCTTCAAGTCTTTACCTACACTAGAGTTCTGTATGTTTGTGATCCTCAGACCTTTTTTTTTTTTTTTTTTTTTTGAGAATTTGATGAATATATAGATTTTCTCCAAAAAAATATATTTGTACCTACAAATGCCAATTTTATATGTAATTTCAGGGGGCTCAGTCCTCAGGTTAAAAGCCCCCAGTTCTAGGAGACAGAGCAGGGGGACGAGTAGGGGGAGGGAGTGGCTGATAAGAAAAGAGCATGGATGGCTAAAATGTGGAGTTTGAAAAGTGCTGTATGAGAGAGATGGGGGATCAGGGGAGAAGAGATCACGGGTTTGAGGGGAATTGTCAAAACATGGAGATGAGCCTTAAAGAATAAATATGATTCATTGTAAAGTATTCAAGATGATACCTGGTTTGCTTTGCTTTTTCTTGGCCCAAGGGAAAGAAATTTGAGAGTGAAACTTCTAATGTTCTATAATCTTATTACAGAAACTTAACATGTATTTCTCCTCCCAAATCTGTTCCATTAAAAAAAATAGGACCAAGTACTGTAGATGCTTTTGGAAATACACAAACTTAGTTATTTCTGGATTACAAAACTGAAATATTGTTCTACTATCTTCTAAATTTTCTGTAATAAATTTATATTTTTATAATTAAAAGTAAATAGAAAGCACATATTCTTTAGGAACAGTAGATTCCTGTGTATATTGGTGATGATTGCTTATTATTAATTAACTGACATTTAATGATAGTCTTCTAAATATTAATTTTTTAATTATCACTAGTGTTATCTCTATTTTCTTAAATCTTTGAAGGATTAAGTCACTTTCCCAAGGTCACATATTTGTAGTCATTTATAACTGAGGTTCTTATAGTTCATACTCTTAACCTACATGAAACTGCCCTCATAGAAAATCCAGCAATATTTGACTCATTGGTTTATTTTGTGTGTGTGTGTGTGTGTGTGTGTGTGTGTGGTGTGGTAGGGTCTTCCAAATTTAAGAAGAGCTATAGGCACTGATACGTTGTTGTTGTTGTTTAAATATATTTTTATTGATTTCAGAGAGAGAAAGAAAGAGAGAGATAGAAACATCAATGATGAGAGAGAATTACTGATTGGCTGCCTTTTACACAGCTTCTAATGGGGATCGAGCATTTTCGCTGCTTCCCAGAGTTGGTAGGATCACTTCATGTGTTTGGTATCCTATATGGCCCAGTGGGTCAGCCTCCCCAGTTACCTGAGGTGGACACTCTTGGTGCTCCCCTTTGTGTACTGTGTGTACAACCTTGTTGTAGTTAAGTCTTGATTGTTGTTAATCACTGGGAAGAATTCAACTGGATATGAGTATCAGCTGTGTCTACACTAGGATACCTTCTGTATAGGAGACAGTCTTATAGGATCAGACTTGCAAAATTGCAAAAGCCTCTGTGCTCAGGTTGGATGGGGCGGAGTCTAAGGGCTGAGCTGACAGTCTTGGCTTCCCATCAGCTCTGCCCTATGCATGCACATCAGACTTCTGCCTTCCATGGCTCCTCTGAGTTTCCGCCTGACAGTCCAGATTCCTCTTGTAAGAGCGTGGGTGCTCCAGGGACTCGCCCTGAACTGGGTTTCAGTGTTCAGTGGTCAGAACTGGGGTTCAGTATAGTTAGGAGCTTCCATCTCCTTTCGCTGTGGAGCAGCTGCGGCAGTCCAAGGTCAGACCTCGTTGTGTGCACTCACTGGCACACAACTCTAGACCCTGCCCGCTGCGGCTCCCGGCTCCCACGAGTCTCCCAGTCTCTGAGTCTCCGGGTGCCTTTCTCTACAGTCTGTACTCCACCCGTATGAGCCTGGGTCCACAGGGTTTTGGCTGGGGTTGGGGTTCAGTGCAGTCGGAACTGGGGTTCAGTGCAGTCGGGGGCTTCCTTTCTCCTCCCGCCAACCAGGCATTCAGCCACCCTTCCTCTCTGCGCACACGTCTCCCTACCTCAGCATTTTGTGGCTCTCCTGATCTGTGAGCCACTCTCCTTCTTTCTACTTGTAGATTTCCCACTCAGCCAGCTTTCCTGTGGTTTTTGGATGATGTCTATTCTTTTAGTTGTTGTTTTGAAATTGTTGTGTGAGGTGGTAATTTAGGCGCTTATCTAGGCTGCCATCTTTTTTCCCTGTCCTAAGCCTTGATTGTTGTTGGCATCAGTGGGAGGAATTGACTTCCAGGCCAGTTGGCTGTGAGGACCAGTTTTTTCTACAATGAAAGAGCTGCTGTGCAGGAGATACCTCTGTAGAGGAGGACTTGCTTCAGTGGGGCTTTGGTTCTCACTGAGTCTGCCCGTTGAGTGTATCACTTGTGGGTATAAAGAGTTGTAATCTGATGTGATCTAAAGTTGTTCAACCAGGTGTGCTGGCTCTGGGTCTCCAGGGAGGTGCAAAGTCAGTCACTGCCTG